GCTGAAAGGGGGGGTTAGTGTGCTGTTTCTCCACTAATCATGTGTGCAATGCAAAGCAAGTAAACAAGAAAACATCTCAGCATGGTACAACTTTGTTCCTGTAGTACAAGCATGTTAGCAGACTGGTCTTGTGCCTCATAGGTTCGGAGTTATGAGTTGACAGACCAAGCGAGCGCAGATCAACATGATCATGCCAGAATACAGTCCGAGGAAAGATGGCGAAGATGGTCCAGTGTGAATCCGCGGATCAGACATGTGAAGTTCCAGGTATGTAACAGAGATGGGTCGGAGATCCTCAGGGTCAAGAGTCGTGAAGATAGAAGTCCTTGGTAGTATGCGGTATCGGCGTTGCAGTCTTCAGGATGAAATCAAGTTTCCTCGGTGCGATGATGTTGTCCCCATGTCGGCTCACAAGGCGTGAGCAGTCGTGCAAGACCTCAAGATGATGAATGATGCCGGTTGTGTTGAAGAGTGATATTCCAGAAAACAGCGTAGTAGCAAGTCCCGTCCGTCAGGATGTGCTGCTGTGGAGGTAGACCAGGTAATGTCAAGTCGAAGCAGATGGTCAAAGCGAAAATCCATGAACAGAGAGAACAGAAGCCGACGCGTGCTGGAGCACCGTGATAGTCCAGGGTCTATTTGCCGAAATGTGCCATTGTCAAGCCTGAAGTAAGGCAGTAACAAAGCGGTAGAACCGGCATATCCACTGTCGTTGGGTGAAGGTATCCAGGGAAGTCCATCCAAATGCGAAGCTGGGCAGCCTCTATAGCCTCGGGTGAGACGTCCATGGGTCCCAGTAGGTCATATCCATGAATATCCATTGGGGAAAAGGTTTCCAGGTATTGTCCAGGTTTGTTTGGTGCGAAATATTCCAGTGGAGTCCAATTTGCTGATTGTCTCGGGTTTGCTCTTGTCGGGCAGTACTCACCGGTAGAATAGTATCAAATAATGTTGGTGACCGCGTCTGGCACGACAGGCAAGAGGCTAGGCCTCTGCACTACGGTCTCCTGTAGTCCAGCGGAATGAAAGTATGTCCCGGGCAATGATCCTTCGGAAAGTGTCCAGGCAGAAAATAGTCCAGAGTCCATGGGTCGATATATCCTTTTGAGTTTGAATGCCTCCGCGGCGGGAAAGATCTGGTTGGTAGAGACGCGAAGAAACTGTACATGAAGCTTGCAATACATGACTTAAAAAGACGACGGACCACCCTGGGAACAAAATAAGAAAAGACAATACCTAGAAGGTGTGTGGACGTCGTCCAAATCAAGAGAATTGTAGCCAGGCATATCCGGGCGCGGAACAACAAGAGCAGTCATTGATTCCTCGGGTCGCGTAGTCATGCAAATCCAGGGCAATGTGAATCAACTCGGCTGAGTTGTGTCGTGTGAAGATACCAAAGAAAAGAGCAAACACAGCGGGTCACTTGTTTGCGACGTTCCTTTGGAATGCTTTGGTCGAGATGGTGTCGAGTGTGGTAATCCTTGGGTGGCAAGATGCGGAAGATCTTTTTTGATCTTTCTTAGCTCAGGTTGACCGTTTGTTTGAGGGCTGAAGGGATGTAGGCGGGTAGAAGAAGACAATATTGGCGCTTGTTGGGTTGCCAGAGATCAGCGATGCAGAATGCAGAAGAAGTTGGGTAGGAATGAGGTTGCGGGTTGGGCTGAAAGGATAAGAAGAGAAACAGACGTCGGGCAGGGACAGAGGGGGTCAGCGGGTTTTAATGTTGCGGGACGAAGCCATGTCTCTGCTGGCATTTGCACAAACGAGCGAACGAGATGAGGTCTGTGAGGGGGGCATCCAAGGGGCTGCGGGCATGGCAGACTCGGGAGGGGAGGATTGGGGGTGGAGCTGTCTACCACGTCGACATGCGTGGCCCCCCTTGCCCATGTTCTGCTGGCCAGAGACAACCCCTGTTCCGAAGCATTGGCGCCCTTGGTTTCTGCAGATGGATGCTAGGCCGAGGCAATAGCAATCACATCTTGGAATATCTTGTCCACCACTCATTTCCAAGCCCATCCAGTCTCATCTCTCTGTCTTGCGTCGTGGGCAGCTGCTGGCCAGAGTGTCTAGACTCCTGGCGGCAGCAGCAGCAGCAGCAGCAGCAGCAGCAGCAGCAGCATCATCATCTTCTCAGCTTCTGCTGGCTGCCTTGGAAACAGACAGATATGCGGCCAGCGTCCACCGCCGAATCGCCGACCTCGTCGTATCCAATATGTGCCTTGGTGTTGGCCGTCACAGAAAGACCGCAGGTCAAACTCGAGCTAACACACGGCGCTAGCCAGCTGGCCTCATTCTGTCTGCGTCTGTCATAGGCCCGTTCCGAGCGAGGATGGCGGTGACTGGTCTTGCTTCCTTGATTTTCCTGACTTGAACTTGGGTCCCGGGTGGAGACTGGTCACGTCCCTGGCCTATCGCGCTGCCAGTATTTCGTCCGTCTCGGCAGCGTGGAGGGATCATGGCTGCAGTACCAACACATCCGTGCAGAAACCTCAAGCGTCCCGGCGGTAGAAGAGTAGGCCAGAAGACGCAGAGAAAAGAAACAAGGCTGCGCAGCTCGTCGACTCGCACCAGGAGCGGAACTTGCTCATCCTAACCATCCATATGTGTTGCTCTTGTTCCGACTGTTCCTTGACTTTCCCCCTTTCCCTCCTCGCACAGACGTGATAGCCTCCCGTAACCCGTTTCCAGTAGCCGTCTCGAGCATCAAAGTCATGGCGCCATCTTGAACCAATGTTTTGACGCGCATCAATCGACGCTTGCCGAGGTGGCATCGACACCGCCGGCCGCTAGAAGAAGCCAGGCGACAGACGGCGGCGGAGCAACAGAGCGAGAGGGTGAAAAAAGACGCACACGACACTAACAACAGACGAGTGTAGCACCACAGTCGAGCGGGAACTGCGGAAGGCCGGACTGTCAGCCCGTTTGTCCGTCAACCTCGTGTTACTCTTCCTCCTGGTCGTTGGCTGCTTCATTGGTGTAGGCACGCCGCCGGCTCACGCGTCGACGAAGCAGTGGCCGTGGTTGGCGGGCCGCAAATGGCTGACACACACCGGCCGACAGTCTCCGTCTCAACTTGCACAATCTGCCAGCAGCTATTTTGGCGTGTTCGATGCTCACTGGCTCGGGTCGCAGTCAGTCGGCCACACACCACAAGCAACAACGCAGTGCATCACGCCCGCAAGACACATAAACGCGCTTCGCGATGCGGTCTTTCGGTGTCTACCAGCTGGCCTGCTTCCGGCGGAAGCGGTCCTTACCAACCATTTGCGACTCCTTTGATGATGCTGCATTACGATGCATGAGTAACGTGCAGCGTGTGGTCTTGTGATGGCTTGATAACATGGTGCAACTTGTCATGTTCGATCGTATCATGGAGCGCAGCGGTAACGGTAGCGGCACCGGCAACGACAGCGGCATCTTGAGTAGTTTGATGCGATCCACGAGCATTCGACTCGATCACCAGCAATCGCTCCACGTCGTCTCTGACTTCGTTCTCCGGATTCCCGTCGAGTTTGCATTGAACAGCTCCATCTTCTTGGCCCCCCACCTCGGTCTTCTCTGACGCCGATGAGCTGGAAATCGACGAAGCCGGTGCTCTTGACTCTTGTTGACTTTGAGGCCAGCATGAGCTTGAGACGCGGGGAACCACTGGCGTGTGGCAGTTCAACGCAGTTTAATGCGGAATGGCTAATGAGCTGACGTTGACAAGGAATACGGGACGAGGGGTCAGCGAGAGACGTGAGACGGAGGCGCCCGTCGTCGAGAGGAGAGCATTGACGATGGGATGGAGAAAAGACCTTGGCGATGGACGCAGACGACGAGGCGTTGACATTTGAAGTCGAGATCGAGAGAGTGTGTGCAAGGTTCTTGCCTTCTGTCCCAGACTCTCAGATGTAGTTTCTTATGTAAGGTGGTAAGGTCAAGTGTAAGAGCAAAGACTAAGACACATGGCATTGGGGAAGCCACGATGCGCCATGCGATAGCGCTGTCCGTTTTCCGTTTTCAGAGTCGTCTACCTACAACGTCCCGTCAGTATGGATAAAACAAACAAACGGCACTTAGCTTGACGCAAGCCACCCGCAGCCCCAGACCAGCGCCATAGCTTGCCGCCTTTCTACCCATCTTACCTTAGGTAATTGTCTAATCACCGGTACTTGCAATCAGTAGATACCTCGTGTCGGGACAATAAGGTAGGTAGGTGTACGATGAAACCACCTTCCTTCCTTTCTTCACCTTTGACCCTCCAGCATTTTACTACCATTTTGCATCAAAGGCTTCACAACTCTTGGACGCAACTTTTGCACGTGATTGTCCTTGATATTCAAGCATAATGATCAGTACATGAGTATCCACTGCTGACCCATCCGTACCGGCAGAGTTACAACCTCCCGTTCGGCAGCTTCCCTTTCCACACTTCCCCATCGAGCCCGGTCGCAGGTGGACTACCTTTTACTCAGCTCATCCTAGTCGTCTCTCCACACCATTGAACTCTGTCACGCTCGTCCCTCGGTAGATGCTGCCGAGTCGAAATCCCCCTTTAACACAACGTGAGGCAATTGGCAATCATGGCGATCTTGCCCTTGCGCCTCGCCGCCGTCGCCGACACGAACCGGAGATCAAAAGATGCCAGTCGGTGGATCTTTCTTCAGCTGCTAGCTTTTTCACTGTGAGAAGGAAGGAAAACAAGTTTCGGATATGAAGCCGCCCGTCTGCGCTACGACAAATTGGGTGTTGCTGCGCATCATCCCCTACCTAAAACGCCGATCTAAATCTCGGTGTACGGGCTTTCTGACTCAAGCCAAGGTCGCCAGCCTCCAGGTCACCGAAAACTTGATACCGGATCTCGACAAAACGTTGCTCCGGCATGCAGTCGGCGATGTCATGTACGGAGATATGCACAGACGTATCTCTTTCTGTCGAAATGGTGCTAGAGGGCAATGAGCATGCCGATTCGGAAGCTGGAAGATCTTCTAGCCGTGTTATTCTTAACTTTCAGCCACTCACGTCGTCACGTCCACTTCATGGACGCAATGTGCAGAGCCCGTACGACGCAAGACGGCTGCTTCCCATATGTCTTGTAACCTCCCCTCAGCATCTGAGCCTTCAGTCCAGGCAACTTCCGCCAGGACTGCCTTCGCGTCGTGCCAGCTGTCGAGCTGCAGCACGTGGCTGGCCAAGCTCAATTTCGCAGCGTACAACTCTCTCCACCTCGCGAGTTGCTCTCTGCCTGTTGCGGTAATTGGTCTGCCCGTGTAAGCCACAGCAGCTCCGAACAGGACGCTCCATAACCAAAGGCTGCGACTGAATGTCCCGGCAATCATTTCCTCCTCCTTGTCGCAAACATCGTCAATGAGCTGTTCCAGCAGCCACACGGTAAGGACGCAATCCATTTCGCTGTCATTGACCGCCATGACGAGGTAGAAGAAGGTGGCAATGTAGCTCGCCCTGCTGCTCTTTGCGTCGCTGTTGAGCATCGTCGCTATATTGCGCTCTGGATCGAATCCACGGGAAAGCTCCCAATTTAGGTTTTTGGTATAGTCCTGCCAGAGCCTGTCCGTGGGCGTCTCGTCGCCTTCCCACCATCCGTATCTCGGTGCTTGCCGCGGCGGGAGACTTTCCATATCCCACAGTGAAGTGAACAGCAAGGCGATGATACTGGGCTGGAAATCAGCACTAATGGCATCGTGGATCACATTTACTTCCCCTAGACGTAGGCGATCGCCAGCCCTGTCGAAGTAATTGTTAATCGATCAATGCTACACATTATCCGCAAGGGGCCACTCACATCTGCAGCATCTGTTGCGCTAGGTTTGATCTCATCAAGTTGTAGCCGTTCTTCCTGAGAGTCAGCCTGTGAAGACCGCGCAGGTGCTTCGAAGAAGCATCCAAGTCCCCAACCGCTCCCTGCGCATGCCATGAGCATACAAAATTCTATCATAAGGACGTCATGGTTCTTTACCTCAGTGAGTGCCAGGCTGGCTATAGCAAAGATGGCTGTGTCGCTGACGGTTTCCTCAGACTCGGAGAGTTGCTGCTTCGCAAACTCATAGGCGGCTGTCTTGTGATAGAGAAACGGCACCTTGACGTGTTCAAGGGATCCAGTGACCCATGCCCATTGGCAAGCCGCAACCACAAGGCAGCCATGAAGCAGGCCCGGATGCAGAAGTGTCCTTTGTACGCTTGCTCATGTTAGCCCGGATGATGTCGTGGGATAGGAGACGAAACCATACCTGCATAGATTCTGTCCCCTTTCTACCGGAGTCTGACCTCTGACGTAAAAGGCAGTGACTGGGCATGGCGTTAGTCAAGTGATCTCGGAGGTACAGAAGGCGGCTTACATTGGTGCCAGAGCCATTGCGACATTGCCGACATCTGGTAGTCGCATGAGAAGCCGGCAAATGGCTGGTTTGACACGACATTGGTTATGATGGAGGCTTCTTCAGCCGGGACAACGGTGAGTTCGGACCCAGATCGGGACTCTGAAAGAGAACCTGATCGAGACTCCTCGTCAGGTTCGACGTCTGGATATACACAGTCCTTGCCGTTCTGCAGACAGTTTGTGCTAAATCCGATGTTAGGTAGTCATTCAACGGGAGGAGTGTCTTGTGCATTGGTCCTCCACGGGCAGGACGTGGGATAAGGGGCAGTTGAGGGGCACGAGTATTGTCAAGGGGACGTGGGCATGGCAGATGAGAAAGAGGTGCATACCACAAAGGCTTGCGCTCGTCACATCGTACATGACGCTGCTTGCACGTCGAGCAACCGTTCTTGCTGCGACGGTGGAATTTGCGTATTCGGTTCTTAGGCGGTGCCATATCAACGCAACACACCTCGTCATCAATGATTCTCCACACAGTCCTGGGGCTTGAAGCGGCGCCGATTGATCATGCTTGGTGGGAACTGCGGCTATGCGGACCAGAGCGAGATTGATCTTGCGGCTGCATGAGATCCTTGGGAAAGCTCTGGGCAAGAAGGGGACAGCATAGAAGTGGTAGCTGGGAGATTGGAATTGAGCGAAGAGATACACGTAGTTTGCGACTTGGAAGTCTCTGCCTTCCATCCCTCATGTTTAATCAGCCTCCTGAACTTGACGAAAACGTTGCTGATGTTGATGATGATTGGCGTAAGCGGTCAGGTGGAAGTTGCTACACGAGAGGTGCATAAGAGTTCGACCAATAGGAGATGAAGGGTGTCAGTTGGTGGGTCAGGGAAACACCCGATCCAGCCCCGCCAAGCCCCTACAGGTCGGTTCCAAGTACATCCTGCCGTTGTTTTTCCGGTCATTGGAGTTGTACCTACCTTAGGTAATGGATGGTGCGTGTTCAAGAGCCTGGCGAGAGAGGGCCGGACCTGCAGGACCTGAACTTGAATGGAAAAAAGTGAATATTCAAATGGGAAAGCGGCGCCCTGCCTCATAGGTTACTACTCCATACACCATCAGGCAACACATCTTCACTTCGGATTGACAGTACCGTACAACCACACTTCCTCCCGCCCAGCATCCCAGCCGAGGATTCAAACAGACGAACAGAATATTCCAGAATTCAACCTGCCTGCGCTAATAAGCAAGGCATAAACCAATCTTCCATACCAAAGTGTCCTCTTCAGCGTCGAGCATCAACCCTGTCATCCATTGAATCATCCTCACAACCTAGACTACCAAGCCGGTGTTGTTCCCAACGTCAACACCGAAGATTCGAAAATGCTTCTATGGCCGGATCCTTCCATAGGTGCGACCGTGGCAATCGTGGCAGAATTGGGCCGATCAGGAACCCGCGACGGGCCTCTCGATTGAACTCGATCTCGAGCCGTTATCCCGGAAAACGGAATAGAAGCATCGACCCGACGAAGCAAAGACGCATTGACAGCTCGGTGGAAGTGGCCGGTCATACCCTTCCGAATCGCCAGATTTAAAGTGGGACACACCGGTTGTGATTTCGGCCATGTCATGCGCATTTCGCTCCGCCATGCGCAACATCCCGGCCTTCTCAATGCCCGGAGACATGGGGAGCCCAAGAATCTTTGCTCCTTTGTTTCGGCCAACATTCAACGGTCTACTCCGCTCCAGAAAGACGTCGTCTCAATGGGGCATACGAAACAACACAACAAACTCCCCACCCACCCTGTATCAATGCGCTGCTGGAACGACTGGTGTCGCCGTCCACAGACCGACGAACGACGGCTTTCCCCCAAAATCTTGCAGCGCATACACATGGCACGAGATGTATCTGTAGTCGTTGTCGCCATTACACCAAAATAACTGTCAAATGTGACAGCAGCTCGATACGTTTGTGACGAAATTGGCAACAAAAACAACTAACGTCATCCATCTCATTTTATCTCTTTGGCGATTTGATCGTCCCGCAATCCCCGCAATCCACGAGGCGCCGCCTGACAGCTCATCAATAGACGAAATAGCCATCCTGCTCCCCTCCTCCACTCGGCAATCGTTGGCTCGTTTCGACTGCTTCTGACTGTTACTGCACCCCGAGATCGATTAACCTATCTAGGGCATATTATGCACAGAGATTGCGGCGATCGTCCGACCACCACTGTTCGCCCTTGGATTCGGAACAGTCGAGTTCGAATCGTTGAGGTTATCGAGAACCTACCCAGGCACGCCAGGATACTGGGGTTAACCGAGGCGCACGTCATCCCGCTTGATTGGCGATGGAAGTCGATGGCGATGGGCTAGTCACCCGCAGCCAGCCGAACGACCAGCTTGAAGCCTCCGGGGTGCACACCATTGGCCCTGGCGGGGGGGCCCAGACGCTTCCGCCCAAATCTTGACCCACCCCAGCAATATCTTCTTGGATCCATAAGCTTTCCCTTGCCTCAATATCGCCGTGGCTAGCTTCACGTTCGCTACGTTCAGATCACACATACCATTTGTCGGGTCCGCGAATCATTGAGGCTCCAAAGGTCACCGACCCGGTACTGCTAAAGCAGCAGAAGCCACCCGGGATTCAGCGGAGCAAGACGCCCACGATTTTGACAACGATGAACGTCTGCTAAAGCGCTGCATGATTGGTTGACTGGTAAATAGTCAGTCGACCCCTTCCGAGCAATGCCACTGTCGGGGTATTCGATGGAGGGTTCCTGATTCAATGATGCACAAAAGCAACTTCGACTTACCAGGTGGGCATCAAGGCATGGTTGGGCACGCATATTTCGCACGTAGCGCGCGTCCCCTCATCGTATCGGCCGTCGGTGTTTGCTTGTCCAATTTGTGCCCAACCCGGCCTGTTGTCACCGCTTCTTCTCCCGCTAGGTACAACCCTGCACAAATCATCCCATCCGGTACCGAAAAGCTACTCCGACCTTTCGGGCAACAATCCTCCAGCCCAGCAAAGGAAAAGTTTCTGTCACAGCCCAATCGGTGCCCTACTCGACACAACTGGCTCCGTCCTCCGTCAGGAGTTGGCACGTCCAATGGCTTCCACGCGTGAGCCTACACAGGCCGGCCATAAGATTTGTCGTCCTTCTGGGGTCTTCCTTGACTGAGGGGCCAACTGTCAAAAATTCGACCTGGCATCGCGCGAAAAATAGAGGGGGACACGAAGAGCACCAGCAATCAAAGGGCACGCTGATCTCCCTCGTCACTCGCGTGTCGTGCCCACGATCCACGCTCGACAAGCTAGGGATGGATGCCAACTTGTCCTGGGGCTCCCACCGTCGACCAATCTATTCCAGGACGCCCGACAGATGAACCTTCTGGACTACAGCGCTTGGCAGTCACGTATCCTCCAGCCCATGCGGCAGCCGTCCCGCTTGAAACCAGAGACGTCTCCATGAGTCCATGGTGTTGGTCATTGGGGCGAATGCAAATCTTTACTCGAGTCTCGCCGGCCTGCGTCTGTCCTGGTCCCTGTCCTCCCTTCGCCTCGACTTCCCAACGGACCACATCTTTTTGCTGTCTTGACCAGGATCAACCATTGTCGCCGCTCCAGTACAACGCCCCACGAGGAAGGACATCGCAAGCAGACATAAATGCCTCCATTCCGAACTTAATCATCCACTGTCAGGATCCTGCCCGCTCCCCCATCCTCGTCCGTCCCAGGAGCTTGTTGGTTTCTTCTTTCCCATTTTGCGCCAGCAAGATCAGACATCTCCCACTAACCCCCTAGTGTCTTTCACGTCAAGCCATTCCCGATCATCTTATAAGTCATTTAAGGTGTCTTCGTGGAGACTGGTCGTTTCTTGGACCGATCACCTGCTTGCCCCCCATCACGCACACCGCCCTTGCAACGACCCGGAGTTCTTCAAGGGTCCCATCCTGGAACAAGACCATTTTTGTTATCGTGGATTCCCTTGTGTTTGAGGAGACAACCTGCCGCATTTTCCCAGGAATACTTGGCCGAAGATCACAGCCCAAAGGACTCTTTTTTGGACACCCAGGGCTGACCTGCCCGCCCAAGGACTATTCATATTTCACGTGGCTTCCATCTCAGGACATTTTGGACATTTCCAAACATTTTGCTGCCTGATTTCTTTTCTCTTTACCGTTATGCCCCCGGAAGATATGGCCCAGCCGGATTTTGCCTACAGACCATCAGCCATGTCCAACGGACCGTGGAACTCGACGCGGAGGTACGGACCGCTCTCCTAATTTCCAAACAATGCCCGAGGAGGGGTGACTGACCGTTGAGAAAAGTTCAATGTACAACGATACATTCCCGCCTGCCGGAGGATTTGATACCAACTACTACCGTTCATCGAGGTAAGAACCAGACGTCATTGTTTATGATGTATTCCCACAAAGGAGCAAACGAGTAACACCGTCCCTTTCAAGCGTGTCCACGTACTCGCCAGGAGCTAGTAACTACAATTTGCCGATCGGAACCAATCCTCATGCTGTTGCCGCTGCCGCTGCCCCGGCGTACGGATCGCGCCCAGCTTCTGGCACATACGGCACCAGTGGTGCCGCCGGCTACGGGTCGTACAAGAGTACGAACTCTCAATCATGGGATCACCAGGAAAGATACTCACCGACGGACTCGGTCGACGACATTATTGCGTCCCCGAACCTTTCTGATTATTCACTCGAGAACGGGGCTGGCACCACTCCCCCGAGTAAGAGCAAGGTGAATGGCAAGGGTCGGCCACAACGTCGACCTTCTAACCGCGACGAATTCGACGGCCCGCATCAGTTTCTCGCTCGCCCGCCGCCAGAATACATTGCCATGCAAGAACGCGAACTGCCCCATCTCCCTACCAACCTCCACGTTCAAGAGCAGGACTTGGTGCTCACCCAAGTCAACGACAGGCTCTCTCAGTGCGCGTACGACTTCGTGGCCAAATATCAGTTCCCCATTCCTTTGACACAGGACATGCGACCTGTCGAGCGACCTCAGGACCGAGAATGGACAGAATGGGTTTACCTCCTGAAGCGCCTGGCTACGAAGCGCCGCATCCCGGCGCGGGTACTCTACAACGGCCAGATTAAGCAGTTTGTCACGATTCTCGAGAATTCATTGGAAATGCGACATGCGGCCAAGCACCAGAGTCGCCCATTAAAGGACGACCGCAACATTTTACAGCTCATTTCGGCGGGCATCCAGGTAGCCAAGATCCTCAAGGACGCGAGCGCCATGGACTACCTCGACCGACTATACGTTTCTACGGAGAAGCAAATTCAAGATCGCGCTGCACAGCGGTTCAGAAGCTAGTGTGCTTCCATGCTACCTCCTACCATATACTCGCCCAGGCCGAAGTTGACAACCTCGCCGTGCGCAGCAAACCACGGCGAGTGTCTCGACGCTGGCGGCCAACGTGGCACTTTGTTTACGACATTTTACGGACCTTACGAACTGAA